AATTACACGAACAATGTTACTTCAAGAGATATTTTTTTATTATTTCCTAAACGAGGAAGTTTAAAAAGTGGGGTAAATGTAGCACAGTTGAAGTGTGATAAAAATAAATCACAAATAATTTATGACTATTTTTTTTAACGGAACTTAGCAGTGTTTGTCCACTAAACAGTTTTCTTTAAATAGTTTTAAAAATGGCAAACTCTACCAGTACTGAGAGCCGAATATAATCGTATATCCACTTAAACGAATCGGAGTTGTTAGAAAAAAAAATATAATCAATTTTAAGATATTTATAATTCGGAAATTAACTCATGAATGAACAACTAAATTTTTAGTCATTTGTAGTTTTAAAAGAAAAAGACCTTTGTTTTATGTTAGTTTCAAATAATAAATTTTAAAAAATTCATTAGTCGTGAATTTTTTTATGAATTAAAATTTTTCGTCATTCGGATAATTTTCACCCTTCTCTGGTATATTATGCTTTAATAATATTCTGTTTATTCCTACTAAGCATAGCAAGAATTTAATTCTTAAGCCACTTAATTAGTTTACACTATTTGAAGTGCATAAGTAACTGCAAACACAATTTGACAAGTGTAAATTAATTAAGAAAAAAAAATGGGTTATTACTAATACGTTTCTCACTTTCAATATTTTAATTTCTAGTCGTTTAACTTTATTTTCCGTGACTATTAATTCTGTTACCAAAATGTTTTTATAATTGTGACAACTTACTTTGCACGATTCTTCGATAAAACCTCTCATGAAAGAGAAGGAAATAAATTTATTGGCATCGGAGTCTAGTGGTTACTCCTAACCTATAAATAAAACTACGACGGCCATAAACAATAATTATCTCTTGTATTCCCGGAAAGACTTTGGCGTTCAAATCGTAATTCTGTTAGCAGTGGATGCCTATTTTCGCGAAGAAAAAAATCGATAAATCCTGATCTTGCTTTGTAAAAGAAAGAAAATAGAATTAATCGCATAATAATTTTACCGAAAAGATTTTTAGACGTCACTTGTAATGCCCTTGAAACCAACTGGAAATATCAACTCTTTATGGAACAACAATAAATGTTGGACTTGGATAAGAAAATCTACACAGATTCCTTTACATGAAAATGGTCATTGAGATATTATTCGTTATACGATATGCTACATATTCTCATTTGCAAATGAAATGGATCACTCAAAATAAAATGAAGAAAGCACTTAATTCTTATTTAATGATCTTAATTTCTAGAAAATATTTTACTTTTACATGCTGGAGGTAATAAATAAATCAATAAATCAAGATAACTTTCTAAAAGAACTGTTCTCATTGGTTTTTGGAGTTAGGAATCAAAAGGTAAATTTAAAATTTTGAAAAACATTAACATTTTTTTTTGTTTTAGTAACTTGTTGCTCTACCTCTCCAGCAATAATTACTGAGTGGCTGAAGACGAGGATGTATATTTCTTATAAGAATTTTGGTGCTATATTGAGGGATCGTCTCCCATTTTTCTAAGAGTGCTGTGTAGTTCATCCAGGGTTTGTGGAAGAGTATACCGTCCTGGCGGATCTACGAAGGCGGGGGGAAGCTATTGAGCTGAAGCCTCCCACAAAATGGTAAAATGTAATCATGTTTTATCGTAAAAAAATATTTCTTGAAGTATTATTGTTCGTGTAATTATATTTAATAGGACTTCAAGAATCACTTTAACACCATTTCATATTGGTAGTTAGTATCTTTCTTTTTTAAAAGCTTTCGGTCTGAAGCCCTCTCCAAAATTAAATCCTGGATCTGCTAGCGCCTTCCTGAAATCCATATTTGAAGTTGATTCCATGAATGTTCAAGGGGATTTAGGTCTGTAGAGGAAGCAGGCCAATCCAGGAGGAGAATTTCTTGATTTTGAAAGAACGCATTTACGAGTTTATTATCCACAAAAACGAATTCTGGGCGAATTGTTTTTGCCATAGGCTGCACTATTGGTGCTAATGTATTATCCAAGTAACGCTGAGCAGTCATAATCTTTTGTAACAACACATGCTCTGTTCGAGAACCCGAGAATATATCATTCCACACAGTAATTAAGCTTCCTCCAAATGAGTAAACAGGCAAGGCCAGGAAAGAATTGTGGTGAAGTACAAATTGAGATTAATCTTTGAAAATGTAATTTTCCCAGGTACATTTGGTCCATGATATTTGAATCCGAGTGAATTGAGGTCTTTTAACTTTATCCTGTAGGGTGAGTTCTGGAAGAAGTCTTCGTCATTGTAATTCATGCTCTATTATCCTTCTATTTAGAAAATGTGAATGATAATTTACACATTAGAGGAAAAAAACAAATCATTAGCTAGCCCTAGGTAAGTGTAGAAGCTATTCCTTTGAGCCTTTACAGTCAAATATCGATCTTGTTGTACTGTTGTATATCTTTGACATCCTCCACCATTTTTATATTTAAAGAAACCATTACACCTGGCAATGTTTCTGTGCAGGACTTTTCAAACTTTTTGAAGTTAGTAATCTTGCAGGCACATTTCACAATGTATAGAACAATATAAAAAATGAATCTCTAAAAGCATTATTGTTCTTGCATATGTGGTTGCTATAAACAAATAAATAAAGAAAGAATATAAAAATAAAATAAAAACTTAAATCCACTACTGGTAAAGTTATCGCAGGACTTTAAATCATATGATGCTTACTCCTCAAATGAAAAACTGAATTTTTCATTTCCAACCCATACACCACTTTTAATCCATCGAAACTCAATCATTATTAAACTCAATGAGATCGTAATGATATTCATTCATATTCATAGTGAAACAGCAAAAATTTAATTGTGTATACATACTTCAGGAAGTTAAAATCTTTTGACCACATCTTACTGATTTGTCTATGCACTGCTTAAGCCAGCAAATTAAGTTCTATCTCTAAAATGCACCATGTACAATACTAAAAAGTAGGAATTCTACATTAATGGGCTATTTAATAATAAATAAATATGTTCATAGAATTCCTTTATTTAATCAAAAATAAATTATTATTCCAAAAGTAGCAAAAATTATAATTATTATTACAGGCGATAAATAATCAGGAAGCAGTTATTTTTTAGATTTGTTATTGTTGCGGACGTTTCAACCCAAACATGTTGGTCATCATCAGGGCTGAAACTATTATTTAATAAAATAAGAGATATAATACATTAAAACCAGGAAATATTAGTGGTAAAATGTATCATCCATCACTATTTACCACTACTATTTTCATTTTTTATGTATTATATCTGATATTATTAAAAAATTGTTTCGGCCCCAATGATGACTAGTATGTTTGGGTTGAAATGTCGGCAACAATAAAAAATCTCAAAAATCACTGCCTCCTGATTATTTATCTCCTGTGATATGTTGTACAGTCGACTAACTTCCTTCAATAGAATTATTATTGTGTTATGTTCATCATAAAAATATTATGACAATGAAATTATTACTTTTTTTTTTTTATTGTAATTTTTCTGTTTTAATAAACAATAATAGTTTTTAACATTTTTATTAAGAAGAAGAATGATATTCATGAATTTAATAATAAGCACAGCGTTTGCATAAACAGTGCAATAAATAGTGCCTTCCTTAAGGCCTTGGCATTACTATCTGCTGCTGTAAATGTGTTTACGCTATCAGCTAGTTAAGTAAGGAATCTAATATCTTACATTACCATTTATAGTGTTTGTAAATCTTAATTGATTAATTGAACCAAGTTTAGTAGCTACATACTTCTTAATAGCCAGACACCTACATCATAAACAAGTTTCTATATCGGATAAAATTTAATTTTCTTTATGCAAATAATAACATTGTTTACTTGTGTAAAATTCCACACTGTAATACAGTACAATAAAATGGAAACAAAACTCCATTTTGAAACCAGTATGAATAAATATACGATATATTAGTCTGATTAATGCAACAAACTTATAGGTCATTAGAAACAGAAATTACTAGAAAAAAAATTTACAGGCCTTTAAGAAAAGACAAAATTGTCACAAAGGTAATCATTGTAAATTGTAAATAGAGTTTATAAGAGAATTTAGAATTCATATAAACAGAATATTTTAGATGGCGGAGGAATGGAAAAGAAATAAATATTTTAATGATCTAATGTTTTTAAATTTATTTTATATGGAAACTTCATTTTTGTCAATCAAACTCTAATTTAATAAGAGTGTAAAGGCTCTTATAAAGTTTCATAGGAATTGAGATTTTCAATTATAGTAGGGAGCTAGACAAAAAAAAAAGATGAATTCCTACATCTTGTAAAATTATACCCTCTCTCCAGCTGAATGTAATATAATATTCCCTCTCTTTCTTTTAATAGATTGACAGTAAGAAAATTAAATATAATTCAGAGATAATTATACTTCTAATTAAATGTAGCAAATAAAATAAAAAACAAGTGAGATTTCTCAAACAGTTGTCTAAAATAAATAATTTTCTTTAAGGCCAGAAGATTTTAAATATAAAAATTATTTTATCCAATAAATAGAAATATTGCTTACCCTTAAAAACGGATGATTAGTTAAATAATCATATTTTCTTCCATTTACAAGCTGTTTTAAATTTTACAGAGTTAATAATAATCAAAATTGTACTTGGAAATAATTTAGTAATCTTTCATTATCATTACTATCTTTAATTATCATGGGCACAATCAAGAAAAAAATGCATACTTTTTGAATTATTCGCAAATAAAGGTTCTTTTTCATCATAACGTTTTCTTTAAATTTCGGGGGGGGGATGTGACTATTTTTCTCACCTGAAAGAAAAGAAGATCTTTAAAATGAGGGCTCATTCGTAGCATTTGATGAAGAATTTACGAAGTTATGGCATAAGGACAAAAAAAACACCTTTTAGAAATAATATATAGGATAAGCAACGGTAGTAGCGCTTTCTGTGGAGTAAATTGAGAACCAATATGACAGTAGCGACATCTTTAATAGAATTCTCGGTCGTTATGGAAACTGATAGACATTACAAAACTTTTTTATCATTTATTCTATTTCAACCCTTCAAATGGTCCAATATGTTATTTTTTCAGAATCTCTTAGGTGTTATTATAAGACATCTATTTGCTCCAAGGCAACTATTGTAATTTTTATTATAAATATGTTTACATTTTTTGTGCCTTTTCTGTTAGCTTACAAAACTCAAGGTATCGCTATATGAATTTCTTAAAAATTATTATTAAGTATCTTAAAATAAAAACATTTTTCATTATTGGTATTTTATTTTCAGGCTTATGGCAAAAAACAGACCATTATAGAGAACAGCCTGAAGTACATTTTAAATATGATTACTTTGTATTATTAGAAGCTGATAAAATAGAAAAACCTGTGATATGTACAACTTTTCCTAGCTTAGTTTATGTCACAGAGGTCTACGATACTTGCAGATCAATAAAGGTTTTTTATTTGAAATGAATTAATATAGATTTAGAAGAACAGATCCATAATAAGTAACAACCATTTTTCAGTTTATATTTAAGAGAAGATGCAGAAGTATATATTTTTTAAAATAATTCCTTAATTTCATACTTTGTTTGTTATTAAAGTTATTAGGTTTACCATCATAATGAAATACTTGCATAACTGAACTATTTATCAACTAATTATTAATTTATTAACTGGAAAATTATAAAACATTAAATAGTTAAAAAAATATCTTTAGTCTTTACTATAAATAAGTGCTCTTTGGGAACAGTATTTTTTTACAATACTCTATTACTGCTATCTAGCCATTTTCAAACATATCTTTTAAGACTAAACAAAAAAATCATTAATACCTTGTTTTAAGAGTAAATTATGGCACTGTAGAGGATACATTATACTTAAAAATGGATAAATTGCAAGCATATTATTATAAATAAATTTAGTTTCTAAATTCATATGATACAATATATTATAGTGATTTTAATGCTAGTTTGCAGACAGTATAATGTGAAAATTGTAAAATATTAATGAGTTCAATAAGTTATTGAGTGTCTGCAATATATTATATTAATTTATAAACACTTCTCCTTACATGCAACATACTTTTTATCCCTTTCATGAAAGCTTTGAATTAAAAATTTTTTTTATGTTAAATGAACCAATTCTAACTAATTATTATTAACTCTAAAACTACAATATTGAGTTTTCCACAATCCTTTCATTAAATAATTTTATCCTCAAACCATTATATATCATCCCTTTGAATTTTAAATTGAAGAATAAGAACTGAATCTTTTTATATTATAATTTTATTATTTTCAGGTGCGTGAAGAAGACCATAATAAGGATGGTTTGAATGACAAAATTATATTCGAAGTCGAAGCAGATCTGGATACATATGAAAATGTATACGCTGTAACAGTTATTTTGATCTTTAATTATAAACTTCATGTAAGTTCAATTTGAGTAATTTTTCTTGAGTAATGTAAAATAATGTCCTGTAGTAATTTAACATACTGATTTCTAACCCAGAATATAACAAAAATAGCTGATTACTAGTTGCTAAACAATTAGCGACTTTTGATGTTTATTTTATCGGAGAAAAAATATTAGTAAAGTTTTGCCTCCACAAAGTAATATATTATTTTGTCAGGAGTTAGTGTTGTGTAATTATATTTACAACCATCAAAGACTCAACAAGCCACTGTTAATCGGATCCTCCTCCACTGATAGATGGCTCTGTCCTGAGCTACAGTTATTTAACTTAGCAGTGTTATTGCACCAGTGACAACCCCTTCCAATCATCTTACTCTTTGTTCTAAGGTTCCTGGTTCTCAAACATCAGCTGTTTCAGAATTTTATTATCACACATATAAGCCATATGACTAATCCAGTGAAGCTGTCTTATTCTAACAAAAAGGAACAATCTATGTCATTATACAGATCATATATTTCTTCAAATGTCTGCTCTCCTCACTGACACAATATCCTTCACAATACAATTCTTTTGAGTTTCATTTAATCAGATATTGTGGACAATTTTCCTTTAATCCATTGAACGTCCATTGGTTTTAACTGGACTGCTATTCCAAAATGATACGTGTTGGCTGTAATCTTGCTGACAATTTCCTGGAAGACAACATCGTAATTTTGCCAATAATAATAAGTAACAACTTAACAACAGAGAATTGAAACAACATTTTCTATATTTTTTTCATTAATTGTCACATATGTCAAATTGTATACTGATTAGCAGCCACTTTCTATAGTTTTACATTGAGACTGTTAATATTATTATAAATAATAAAATTTTGTTAAATATTTATGTAGATAGTAGTTTTTTATGCTAAGTTAAAATTTGTCATTCAAGAATCATCACTAAATATACTATGACCATAAAGATCTCTTTTCTGGATTTTGATGTATGAGGTATAAAATGAAACAGAATTTTGTACAGAAGATACAAATCCCAATCTCGATCTTTAAATAATACCTACCACAACTTTAATAAAAGTCATTGAATAAATTGAGAGGTTTTAAAACTCAGACAGTTTCAAAAGTAAACTGACTTAAATGGGATACATTTTTTTTTTTTGAATTTCAACACAAATTAATACTAGAGTTAAAAGTCCCCTGGCACCAGGATTCGAACTTGTAATCTTCTGTTTATCAGGTTGCCATTCAACGCACATGAGATTAGCCCACTCGGCCATCCTGTATAGAAAAGGATACATATCTAATGTGAGAGTTCTCACTAGAGTATATGAATAACATAAAACAGAATTTATAATGATTTACAACTGTGTGCCTCCTGCTTCGAACCCTCAAATCATTACCTTAATTTTAATTTAAAAACAAATACATAAATTTTATTTTTTAAACGGTCTTGTTTTTCAAATTTTCTATTTTAATAAAATTATAAGAAAATAGATAATTTTTTTTTTTAAATTTTAAGAAATATGTTTAGTAATAAAGAATACATGAAGCATATTTTGAAAAACAAAAGTTCTAATGTCTAATGAAAATGCCTAAACAACTAATTTGATTATTTAGAGTTACAGTCAATTTCAAATGGAGTCAGCAGGATGGATCGAATGCCATTCTCCATTCGGAGGAGCTAAGCTTCATGTAACAACTGATTTGAGACTGAGGCAACGTCAACCACTTAGGCACAAAGGCAGAGATCTAAGATTTAATACAACTCTTTCTATGGAATCTGAGCTGGGTCTTTCTTCGTTTCTTCAGGCCTATGCAGAGAGAAACGGTAATTTATATATGTTTTTAATTCAACTCAAAAATCACTCATGATTCTGAAAAAAAATTTCTAAATAAAGAAAAAGTATAAATGAAAGAAAGCTTAAACCAAAAGTGATATTAAAATATATGGATTCACACAGGAAAAAACAAATTCAAATTAGAACACTAATTATGTAGCTTTAACATTTTATTTTATTTATTATTATTATTTTTGATGGTTGTCACCATATTATTTTGAATTCAACTTATTTAAAAAAATGAAATTTTAACTTGAGGGATCAAAAAATAGGGTTCAATTCTGTTTCATATTACTGCAAACAATTATTTCCAAAGTAAAAAAAATATTTAAGGCTCTCGAAACAAATTTAAACAATCAATCAGTCTCAAAATAGATTAGTTTGAAATATGAAGATAATTAAAGAGGTTACAATTTTAAAAAAAGTTTATAGTGATTTTCCTGTAATGATTTATGGTTCCTTATCCTAAGTAAAATCCTGTTATCAGGTATAATTCTTCACTACTTTTTTTCTTCTATTATGTTATTAAATTTTGACAATATTAAGTGTTATAACATTCATAAGCAATACGAAAATATTTAAAAAATATAAAGTTGTATAAAAAATAAACTTTCGAAATTATGACAATATGTACATGGATGAAATGTTAAAAAAATTAAAAATAACTGTACCATAACATATTTAAAATTTTAAAAACAAAAAATATATAAATTCCTCAGCAATATAAATTTTATGTAGAGTAATATATATGGAAGTAATATAGTTACTTTGGTATTGAAAGTAAAGAAAAATTATAGTGAAATTCTAAAAATGTGGTAATCATTATTTATAATGATAGCATTTTATAAAATACAATATAGTACACTAATAGTTTAAACAAAGGAAGCATAATTTAAACCCTACCTATTCTATAAAAATCATAAGGTCTTTTCAGAAAATTAAAATATAAATGTAATAATAGTTTTAATTATTATCTTAATTTAACCTTCTGACAGGCATGCCTACCATTAGGATGAGAATGGACACATGTACATATGTAGAAGTAATGGTTAACATCAATTAACAAGATTTTAGGTATTGTTAATAACCAATCCTGTATTTAAATTAAAATATTCGAGCTATTTCATGGGTTATTTATTTTCAAAAAAGTAAATAATTCGTGATAAAAAAATATTTTTAAAAAAGCACGCAATATCTTATGGTTATGTATAGAAATCAGAAATTAATAAAATTAATTTCAATAAATTAAACTTAAAATTGAGTTGTGTATTAATCACAAAATTATGTATATAATAAACTACATTCATTGAGGTATTTTATTTTAGTTAACCGGCTTTACAAACACGGTTTAATATTTTTTTTATTAAAAGTTTATTTTTATGGAATGTTTAAAACAAACATTTTCACATTTTGAATTCCAAACTGATTTGTCAGAAGTCCTTACCTTCTGACAATAGTAAAGCATTGGTTCAAAACAAATATCAAATCACTATCTATGTAGTATTTTATTTTAAATAAATATAAAATATTTAAAAATAATTCTTGAAAAATGAATAATTAAAAACTAACATGATGAGCGTAGCTATGCTTAATATACTAAACATGTGTTTTATAGCTTCAATTTAAAAATATATATATATATGTTGTTAGGACTGAAGTAAGGTGATTTCATAAAGGTAGGATAGAATAAAGAATGGATATTTACTTCTTATATTCTCAACAAAGTAGGCAAACATGTCGGCTATGCACCTGACAAATACTTGCACCTGTTAGTGTTAATAAAATACAAATAATGAATCTCATCAGTAATATACAATTATATTTATAATGTACAAACATTTTAATGAATTGGTTCATTTTTTTTAAGTGACGACAAGGCTGGACAACATATATTCCACTTGGACGAGGGGCAAAGCTGCAGGAGATCCTTTCAAATTCTCTCTTGGTATAAACATTCCTGAAGAGACAATACTCTATACTCCAGGCTTCTGGCAGATCATCAAGATGGCGTGGGTACAATATCTCTCGCTCCTCTACCTCTCAATCCTCGTGTCGAGGAGAGTGAAACATTTTATACTCGATAACAGACTTGTGCATAACATTAAGGTTCAACCATGGAAACATATGCATTAGTATTAATAAAATTTGGTACTGATTTGATAATATTAACACTATCTGGTTTAATACATGAAATGTCAATTTTTAGGAATATAATTGATCAAACAGAACTAGGTATAATCTATTTAAATTAATTAAAATATAATTCTATGCACTTCTTGGAATAAACAACTTATTTATCTTTTTAAAAATCTCCGAGCTCCAAATGCAAAATAAAATCAGAAAAAGAAGTTTTGCAAAACATCATCAGTTTTAAATATACAGATGTTATAGATAATCATCCAAGTCTTTGAAAAGATGTTATCATTTACTGATTGGTCTGGTAGGTATTGAAGAATATTTCCAAGCATTGGAGGTTTTTCCTTCCATTAAAATTACTTATTATTTTATTTACTCTTTTTTAATAATATGGTGCCCGAATTTGACATTTCATGTGATATATCAGATTTATTGAATATATAATTTTTACATTAATAGTTTGTATTATATAAATATATAATTGCTCAAAGACATTGTAAATTAACTCTGGAATAAATTTAGTATTATTTTAAATGATTGTTAATATGATATGATGATTTAGTTTATGTAATTATAGTTGTTTTTTTAATTTATTCTGTAATTTATTTTGAACTTTTAAAAGAAAAAATGTTTAAATAATTTAATTAGAAGCACTATAAAATATTGTTTATACTAGTGGTTTTTTTTTTTTAATTATTTTGTTTGAATTCACTATTCAGGCTCTTTTAACCTGTTAAGTGGATTATTTCGTCATACACAAACTACTATCGCATTGGGCATGACGACATTGTTCGTCATGGAAATTTGCTGTGATATTTTGAATGCATTAAGTTTTCCCTAGTTCTTATCTATTATATCCTAGCATAGTTATATGCAAGCATATTGCATGAAGGAATATTATACTACAAAATAAATGATTAATAATTAAATTTTCTCAATGAATTTTTTCTCTATCGAGATAATTAGATTATATAAGTTATAATTTTTTTTTTTAAATAACTAAAATCAATAAGTTAAAAATTAATACTGTTCAATAATTGATATGTGATGATATTACTCATAATTATGAAGAAAAAAGTCTCCTTTGTGAAACGAGTTGAACAAAATTTCATTTCCCACTTAACAGGTTAATTGATCCTAAATAGAAGACAATAAATATATTTGATGAACAATTGGGAGTGCTATGAACTATTGATAATTAAAAAATAAAATAACATTATATCTGTGGCACCAGCGCATAGCATGTTATGTGCAAAAATCATATTTATGGAAAATCTCATTTGAAATTTAGAATTTTCACAGGTGCAAGTTCAATTGTCGAGTTTGAACCCATGTTTCACAAAGGAATATTCATCTCTGTTACAACCACATGACTTAACCCATTAGACAAAAAGAAAGAGAAAAAGTAGCTTTTTGGTGAAATCCATAAAAATTCACAAAATTGCACTTAACGCACTTTTCACAGGTGCCACAGATATTTTGACAATAGAACAAAATATATAAAAAAAAAAAATTGAATAATTATGGCTATGCATCTCAGAGGCCAACAGATTTATTATTTTAAATAAGCTTTCTCTATCACATACTATTCTAATATTATGAATTCAAAATATTTCTGAATAAAATGACAGTAAAATCAAACATATGTAATGATGATTATAAACATATATAATGATTATACTTTTTTAGTTATATTTTTATTCTCCTTATAATTTGAGGTATGCGATGCTAATAGTCTGGAATTTTATTATTACAAACTTAAAAACAAACTAATTTATAAGTTTCACATTAAAATAATTTTTTAATGTTTTCATCAATATTTTAATTAGTTAGGATCCATTTTGTATTGCCATATTTGTGTTTTTATTAAAACCTATATAAAATCACCAATGCTATCAATCTATATGTCAACTAAACAGTTATTATTACAACATATTTTTAATATATTTATTTATTAAATAAGTATACATTATTTTTTTTTAACATAATGACATAAAAATTTGTACACTTTTCCAAATCAATGTGTTTGATCGTTTCAATGTGATTGATAAAATTATAGTTACTGTTTTTTTGTATATTGAAAAATATATAGATAGCAATTTTTATTTTTTAAGAGCCTTCATGAGTTGATTAATAATTTGTAAAAATAACATCTTTAAGGAGATGAAACACCATGTGTAACAAAAGATTTTATCATCTAAGCTACCAGTTTCAGTATCTATACCTTCAACAGACTAAAATAACAATAATAAATAGAAACAAAACAAATAAAATAAAAATTATGCAATCAAATATGATAATTAAATCATCAAATATACAGTAAATAAAAAGTAAAACAAATTTTTATTTGTTCATAAAATATTTTCAATATTTTAATTAGTCAGGATCCATTTTGTTATGCAAAGACATATTTGTGTTTTTATTAAAACCTATATAAAATCACCAATGCTATCAATCTATATATCAACTAAACACTTGTTATTATAACATATTTTTAATATATTTATTTATTAAATAAGTACACATTATTTTTTTTTAACATAATGACCAAATATTTTGTACAATTTTTCAAATCAATGTGTTTGATCGTTTCAATGTGATTGATAAAATTATAATTACTGTTTTTTTGTATATTGAGAAATATATCAATTTTCATTTTTGAAGAACCTTCATGAGTTGATTAATAATTTGTAAAAATAATATCTTTAAGGAGATGAAATAGCATGTGTTACAAAACATTTCTAAGCTACCAGTTTCAGTATCTATACCTTCAAAGACTAAAATAACAATAATAAATAGAAACAAAACAAATAAAATAAAAATTACGCAATCAAATAAATAAGATGATGGAATCATCAAATATATAGTAAATAAAAAGTAAAACAAATTTTTATTTGTTCATAGTATATTTTATAGTTTATCATCCATCTGTATATTTTATAGTATTTTTATTATAATTATAAAGAATAAAGATTATTGTTATTTTATACTAATAAATGCCTCTAGACCAAAACCATTATCTAAGAAAATAAAATATTATAACAAACATGAAAATATCTTTTTTTTAAAAATTAATTACTCTATACAGGTAAGATTTTTTAAGGCATGTGAAAAAATTAAATCTTTTCCCTCGGCTAATATTTTATTGCTTATGTATTCTGCTTACATTATAAGGAGGAAGATTTAATTTTTTCGCTTACCATAAAGAAGGTATCTTTTTATTTTTATTTATTCACGTGAATATCTATGCATTAAAATTAACTTTCAAGAGACAAGAATACTGCTGGACCGAATTACTTGATTGATGAAAATTATCTATTATTAATGAACTTAAAATATACATAAAAAAAGTTCCAATATTAAACAGAATTGTGCAACTGCTGATTAAATACAGGCAATGTCTACTTTGCCAATATTTAGTTCCATATTTCATTCAAACAGATAAGATATCATTAACAGACAACTCTTTAATTTTTCTCTATTTAAATTACTCTTTATGGATACATGTATGAATTGCTCTTTAAGTTTATATATTGTAAAAATTTTTTAGAATTTTTTGTAGTTAATTTTCCAAAAACATCCCCCCTCATCATAGTGACAGCCATTAGATGAAGGGCCATTAGTGTGTGGCGAAGGCTCAGGGGGTCAACATCAGCCCTAGATCGGGAACTGTGATTTATAAAGCTTAATCATGGTAAGTCTAGATCCATTTCATCTGCACCCTTTTCACAATCAATACCATCTCAACTCTCCATGTTGATCAATAATTCTATCTACTTGATAATATCCACAAGTTTTATACAGTGTCACAAACAAAAATTGTTTACAAAGAATAATTTTGTTTCTTCTTAAATAAAAAATAAAGTAAGAATATCCATTATATATATAAGCGTATTTGTGGATCGAACCAGACCTGGATGGGCAGTATTTAAAATAAAATAGACTGTAACTGTACTTTTGTATTTTTTTATTAAAAAACACAAAAGAAGTATTTGTAGTTTCTTTCCAAGATACTAAATTAGAAATGTATTTTAAATACACAAAATAAATTAATAAACTGAGTAGGTTCTCCTTGAAGTACTATAAGACAGATTATTTTCACGAGGATTCTCCCTTGTGAAAATCAAGCTAAGAAATTTATTGATGTTGATTGTATTAAATTTGTAATACATTTATCAATGACCCTAAAATTATTTATCCTTAACAAATATTTGCAGGACTCTAGAATCTTATAAAAAAAAAAAAAAAAGGATAATAGCAATTTTTCAAAAAAAGACGTCTTCCTGTATAATCCATTTATTTGTCACTTTTGGGAAAACCGGTTGTGGGAAAGTGAAAAATAAATGGAATATACAGGAAGACAATGTCTTTTTTAGTAAAATTAAATTTCAATCCTGTAACATCAAGCCACAATTAAAGAATTTTTTTTTTAAATAAAAAGTAAGGTGGTGTTTAATTGGTGAAAAAATACATTTTTTCCCTCCATTAATAATACTTTCAATTACTTCTTAGAAAATAAAAGGGAAGGATTCAATTTATTTAATACCTTATAGAAAAATAAAAATTAAATAATTTGATAAAACATCCGTTTCATTATAAATGATATTATTATATATATATACATATATATATATATATATATATATATGAAAGAAATTTGGGTATATAAGTTCGTTAGACTATTTTAATCAGGTTAGTATCTGAATGATATAAAACACTTTTTATATACTGATTTTGATGAAAAAATTTATGAAAGCTGTTTTTGAGAAAATTTAAAAAATGTATGAAATCGATGAAATGAAATGCCACTTCATAATTAATTAGAGTTTAACGAGAAGATTGATATAACATGCCAGACTATATAATTTCCATGAATAGATAATTTCAATTTCTTAAGACTTTTCATTTTTGATTCCTTTGCTCAAATTTACGCAGTTCATTTTGCAATACTTAGTTATTTGGACTCATGTTAACTTAAACTGTGTAATTTTGTTCATAGCTTGAATTCAAAATTTTATACACTTTTTCTTAGGTGAAAATAAAAAAAAAAAATTAAGTAACTTATTTTTAAATAAAAAGTAACTACTTATTCACTTTTTGCACTCATGGTTTCAAAGTATTGTGGAACATATTTTCCCCATTGAGCTATTATCCTTGAATAATTTATTTATCAATTGAGCACACGGAGGAAATCGGGTTTGACAAATGAATTTCTTGAAGTGAGATGAGTGTCCCTTTAGAACAAATTATAAATATAGAATGTAAATAAACATGGTAGTTTGTCCATAAAATAAAATTAAATATTTTATATTGTCCCTTTGGCAAAAGAATTTCTTGTGTGTCACTTTAGAACAGATTATAAATAAACATGTTAGTATGTCCATAAAAGAAAATTAACTATTCATAAAATAATTGGTAATACAAAGTAAAAATACAGGTAATAGAAAAATATAAAAAACATACACAAATATAAAATAAACAGAGAAAAATAAAATAAATAAACAAAGTAATATCCAGGAGTACTTTGATAGTCTTACAACTTAAGACTCTTATGTGTATTTCAAGATCAATCAGATTGGGAATGGAATAGGTGCTTAAAGAGGAGAGATTTGAAAGAGGAAACTGAATTAGTGTGTCGAATATCGGGAGGGATAGAATTCCAGAGGCAGACAATTGAATTACAAAGGATTTGTCAAACGCAGCAGTTCGGTGAGGAGGAAGATAGAGATCAGATGTACGGGATCTGGTGGGACGGGATTGAATGAAGGATTTAAATTGTAGGTTCTGTAGAATATAGGAGGGTCAATGAGTTCTAATAGCCTGGTATAGGAAGGTAGCAAGAAAGTACTGATGGCAGTTGAACAGATAAAGCCATTTCAACTCTGTGTAGTACTGGGTAACATGCATATCCCTTGAGATTCCGAAAAATAAGCAATTCATTAGTCTGGCTTTGAGATCTCCCGAGAATCCACCATACATGGTGTGTGGTGAGTACATAGTGTTAATTAAAGATTTTTCTCTTTAGTACAAATTAATTGACAACTTTATTTATCTAATTTCAATAACAATATCCATCACATTCACTACAATTAAAAAACAAATTAACAGATAATTTTTTTATCACTTTGACACTAACAAACGTATATTGTCTTATAAAAACAAAACCATTTATTTCTTCAGTCAGTTTAATGTGTACAACCATGTTTACAATAAAATGGAACTGAACAGTCATTCAGATCAGTCTTATTTCAAAATATTTATGTCATCCAAAGGTGTTAAAAATGATTTTGCTGCCTCTTCTTTAGCTCTATTGTCTTCAAGAACAATTACTCTTCGACCATAATCGTCCAACTGAACAAATATGTATCGGTATTCAAAATTTCCAGTGGTATTCTAAAAAAAAAAAAAAAAAAAAGGAAACAAAACATACTGAGAAATCATAATAAATATACAAAATTTATATTTCATAAAATATTATTGGGTTGTAAATGAAAGTGACTGAGATTCATTAACTGAACCTACCGAAAATAAATTATTAAAAATAAAAGAGGATAAAATAAATTAACAATCAGTCAAGAAGAAACAATCAGGCTACATTTGGATCAGAGGATGAATAACTCAGAACCATATTTTTCCTTCAAGAAGCCAGCATCTGATTCTCTTCAGAGATGGAAATTAGGCTCACTCTTCAGAATAAAAAAATAATCCTTCTGAACTAGATAAGTACCATGAAATAAGTTCATCAGGATCCCAAAAGATGTTTCATGGATCAGTGCCTCTTCCATTCAGATTCTACTGGGGAGCATTAAAAAAGAGATAGCTTGAGCATCCTCTTGTTTAATTGGATTACAGATGATGTCTGAAATGCATGCAAGAGAAGAGCTGGTTTTGTTTAGAGTTTTATCTATGAAGATGACATAATCCATAATGCTGATTCGAGCAGTGAAAGTGAGGTTCCTTGTAAGGATTGTTGGAAAGACAAAGCATGACCAGGTTCACATTGAAATCATAAGAAAAAAAAACTTTAACACACGGTCTGTCTTAGAATAAAGGCAGATCTACAAGAAAGTATGATCAAGAAAGACGTTAAGGCTTCTTGAGGCATGCCTTCATGGACTGCAAATAGTGTCCAGGCCCCTAATCATTAACCATGGATATATGGAGACTAGAAAGAGCCAGACGAAGCACAATGGGAGAAATAGGGTTAGCACAGGACGGTGATCAAAGTAGAAAATAGTCTGAGGCTGATTTTCGTGCGACGGAGATAGAAAAATACAACTCATTTTTAACAGGGGGAAAATAAGGACAGGTTACGGACGTAGGGCCACCGATTTCAATGAAAATTTTTTTGGTGAGACTAGGTTGAATGTTAGACCCATGTCCAAGCGTTCTTGCCAATTCACCCTAGAAGCCAGGAAAAGTTTTTTTCTTATTTTTTATATTGCTGTTTTCTGACTTAGCTCGGTGTGGATTTCTAAGTTATTGTACATCAATTGATTTGTTGTTTGTGTGTAAAATAAGAAAAATATATTGCTAATTGTATTAAATGAATTCTAATGTATAATAAACTACAAAGACACTGCCTTTAAAGTAGGCCAAGTAAATTTTTGTTATGAAAAAATGATTCACATTCATTTTAAGCATTCACATAAACTTATATATACGAGTTTTTTTTTTTAAAATAAAATAATATAAATTTTTTAACTTAATTTTATGGTAAGATTTTTTTTCATGCCTATATTTTACTGAAAGTATTTTGTCAAATGAGTTTTTCTTATTGATGTTGTATTGTGTTCATCTGATCCCTATTTTCAATATTCATTAAAAAAAATATCAATTTCTTCAATAAAAATTTCTTTATAACGTTTTAAATCTTTGATTATCATAATCACACTACCCTACCTATAATGAAATCAAATTTGGTTAAACCTCACTTCTAAGAACTCGGGATATCTTCCCTTCAAAAATAAATTAATAATTATTTTAAATGCAACTGACTACTCTGTAATAATAATCTGATTAATGAGTAAATTGGAATTAAGATTCTCGAAAAGTGATTTGAGTTTTATTTTGTGTATTTGTATATTTCAAAGATTAGGTCTTTAAATTCAAGTTTTCTCTCTTACTATATTAGAATTATAATGTAATGCAATCTGGCATTTATTTCTTAAAATTATGTTAAAAGCAAATTCAAAGGTTAAGCGAATTGGACTCATTGAGAAACTATCTATTGTCACAGTATACCTAGTAACAAAAACATTTTAATGTGTGAACTAATTCAAGTGTGAGTAAAGATAATTCATTCCATGAACGATATAATTCGATTTTTAGGAATTTCCAGGCGGCAAGAGATCTACAATTTGATTGATAACAACAGAAAAAAAAGAAAGTAATTTTCCACTTTTGCATAATCACAATCAACAAAATGATTATGATTAACACAAAAACAGAAATAATTTTAATTTAAGGAAGGTCTCCATGAGTTAATTCAAAAAATTATAATTTTCTTTAATACAATACAAAGCCTTATAACTTTTTGGCAGGAACCTTACAATAGTAAAAAGTCTCATCATTCCATAAATTAAAAACTTTAAATGGTGATCAGTTGCAACATAGCTCTTAAATTATTAACAACAAATTTACATGCACAATAATGCTGAACCGATATTCAGACGGCGAGATAGTAAATGTTCCAATGTAAGGCTATAATTATTCTTATGGAGGTTGGCCTCAATTTTTGTATTTAAGGACACTTGGAAAAAATATGTTTTGGATCAGCAAAAAAATTAAAAAAACAAAATTAGGAATATAATATTTCAAAATTATATAAGGACAAATGGATACCAAAATAAGAACAATTGTTGGTTTAATAAAAAATGTAGAAATAATGAATATAGTTAATATAAATAATAAAAAAAACTGGCCAAATGTATTTAAGCTTATTGAATCATTTCTAATATTAGAATAAAGCCAACAGTGTAGGAGAAGATTAAATTTAGAAAAATGATTCATAATGACAGTGAATTTATTAAAAAAACAGTAAAATAATAATCACTTAATACCCACTTAGAAAAAAAACCAAAGGAAATAAAAAAAATTATCAGGGTGATAAACTATATATAATTGGTTATCAGTAACCTATAGTTCATATTAGTTTGGTAGAATACAATTAGTAAGGAAAAGAAAACTCATGTGAATATGTTTCAAAATTAGTTTTTTTTATTTCATTGAGAAAATTTTCTAAAAATAATATGTGACAATGGTGGAATGTATGTATTTAGCAAGAAACTATTATTGACTAACCAACCTCTTTAACTTCTAAGTGAACAGTACCACTGTTTCGAGATCCTTTAAGATAGAATACCATCCTCATGTGAGGAACACCTTCCTTCTCATAGGAAACATGGCTAAAACAAGATTAACAAATATAGTTTGATTTTGTAGAATGATTTTAGATAAGAATACCTAGCATGCTTACTTAACATGTCGCCTGCGACCTCTACTTGTCTCCTCACCAAATCCTTTTATAGGAGCGCCTAACGCATCTTGAATTCGAGTATCATTCGAACATAACTTGAAAGCATTAGAATATACCCCACTAGGGCTTTTGCTTGAAAACAGTTCTCTAAACACTGCGTAAAACAGAGCTGCAGTAACACCTATTCCGAGGAGAATGATAGCAGAGTAGGATGCTGTTTTAGTAGCTTCTTTTACTGTCACCTTCACATCAGTTTGAAGTTCACTATCAGCTTTCCTGACAGAAATACCTTTCTTATCAGAATACTTTCTGTTTACTAACCTGAAAAAACTGTCTGGATCAGAATCATAAACTGTTAAGACTTTGCAATGTTCACTCACTAAAGGATAGGGCAAACGTAAACTTTTTAATAATAACTTTCGAGCTGATTGTGAAAGAAGAATTGACATGTTAACTAAGGTATACTTGAGATTTAACAAGTTTGAGTTATAACAAAAAAAAAAAGGGACGAATAAAAAATATTTTAAAAAATAGTCATTTCTTAGAGTTCATGAAGTAGAAATTTCCAAACAAAACAAATTGTATACTTGAGAATATTATTTTCCACAAAAACCGGTATAATCAACTTTCATAACTTCCTACACTGTTATCCCAATGCCACTGATATTTAAAGATATGTCAGTAGTCAAGTTTTTTAAGATTAGATAGTGAAGATTTATATCAATTCAAACAATACGAACACGATTTGAGCAATAACATCATTTTAGAACTAGCAATAAAGTTATGGAATGTTGAAGACGTCATTATACCATTAGAACCCTGCACACACGTAATTAAACTAAAATTGGATGCAGTAGGTAACATGTGAGGTTGTCTAGAATTGAACTATCGTTAACAGTATTAAGTTTGTTTATATAGAATTAGATATTAGTGTTGATATTCAATTTAATTTTTTTATTAAAACTAAAGAAGAAATAGGGGTGAGTCAGTTTTATTAGTTTTCTAATTTTCTTATTATCAGTAATTAATTGATTAATTTAATTTTATTGAGTTGACTGCATCTGTCAGTGTCAAAAGATAAAATTAATTCATGTAAAGTTGTATAATTTAGTTTTACTACTTAATTTTACTGTTTATTCAGCCAGTCCTTTAGTTGTGACCTTTAGGTATGTATATTGCAAATGTCAATGGGTGCTCTTTGGGGAGAATAGAGAATAAATTTGATAGAATTAATTCTTATCAAACATCATTATTTGACTTGACTGTTATCAGAGAATATTATTTACAATTATTGGTAGTAATTAATTTTACATATATATTTTGTTTAGTTTTTGTTTTCTCATTCATTTACTCTTATTAATTTTTTAATTGGTTCACATTTCATTTTACAGTATGGAATGGTACTTTTCAACTAAAGAGTTCCTGTCATCCAGATACTATGGATTATATTCTGGAAGAAGTTCAAGAAATAACTTTACCCAAAGTTATTAAATGGATTTCATCAACTGTTATGATATTCGGAGGTGTTGCTCCGTTTATTCCTCAGTACAGAGAAATAAAAAGAAAAAATGATGCGGAAGGATTTTCTTTGTACGTTTGTTTAGCACTTCTTATTGCCAATACTTTGAGGATATTGTTTTGGTGAGTTTGTATTATCTTCTCGTATTTCTTAAAATATGTTAAATAATCTTGCTATTTTAATATTCATTTTAGCATAAAATGAAAAAATAATAATAAAAAAAAAAAGAATTCTCTAAAGGTTAAACAATTCCTGAAATAACGATATTTTCTATGTTAACTAAAAATCATTCAACAGTTTCTTGATTTTATGTTCCTTGATATATTTACTGCCAATTTACAAGATAACTGTTTGCTTATGTTCATGCCTTGGATGTCGACCACAAATTATTTCATGTTTTGCTTTATTCATATTTTTTCAGCGACAGTGAAATTTGTAGTAATTTTAATGATTATTATGTATTATAATTGAAGTTTTAAATTGGCATTTTGGACTAGAATCCTGTAAAGTACCATGGTAGTCAGTATGTTAAATAGTATCGGCCTTAGTCTCTTCACTCATTTCCCTCTTCTTTGATTATGATCTTATAGTTGGTAGGCATTTAAATATATTGTTTGTTTTCAAAGTGTTCAACGAAAACTGTTACGTTATTCAGTATAAAGGGTACTTATAGTTCTTTTTCACTTTTCTCTACAGCATAATACACTGGTAATTTTCCAGATTGATTAATATTTATGGTTAGTGATTTGTTCGTACGGCTTGTAGTGTCATTCCCTAAAGCTTAAGCCAGTATCACTGTAGGTACTAGTGTTTTGTATTTTACCACTTTGGCGAGTGGGTCAAGATCTCATGATCATGGTATAAATGGGATTTCAATAATAGCTGAGGATTGAGATGTCCACAGTTTAACCTACCTTTATATAGATCATAATTTATGACCTCGGCAAATTCCTTAATAGTCGTTTTAAAGTTAAAATCGGTTCTTTAATTACAAGGCTGCTTTACAAGGCTGGGATCTTATCAGATGGTTCTGTCACTTCCATATACTTTCAGAGGCACTGGGCCATTGTCAGGAATCTATTTATGGTGTGATCACGAGATCTTGTGCCATTCATCAAAGTGAAGTGGCACTTGAGCAGTAGTACTCTTGAGCCTTCCTCTATGAAATGCAAGGTGAATTGTTCATATTGGTCTAAATGTTCCTGAATCATCTTGGTGTATATATTAACTTTCTTTTCTCCTGATAATAAATTAAGGGCATGAGTGTTGGTAGGTTCCTTAAAAAATATTTGATTTAAAGAATTTTAGATATGTTATAGAAAGTATGCATGTTTTCATCCTTTTTCATGATTTACCTACAACTATGAGTATGACATGTCAGTACTACTTCATCAATTTTCATTAAGCATTTAATTGATTCAATTTAAGTAAGCCGATTTAATTTAAGTAATTGAGTATTAGGATTAAGGAACATTAGAAATATGGAATTATCTTAGTTGATTATTTATTAAAATTAAAAGAATTCAATTAATAATAATAAATAGTAGTTCAAAAAGTATAAAATAGCTTCATGTTTTTTTCTAATTATTCAAAATAATGGTAGGTAGTTACGCATACTTATTTCATAAATGTTTAGATTTGAAGTATAGGATGGATATTTACCAGTATTTTAAAAAAAATCCTTGCAGCTAAATTATATTTTAGACTTCATAGTTAGGACCATATCAAATATGTTTTAAAAATTCAATTCTTATGAAAAAAGAACCACTTAAATTTGATTCAATATGTTATTTATATGTTGTTGGGTTGCCTCTATTCCACCAGATTCATGGGTTTTTAGACCTTTTTTTTTTTTTACTTTTTCTTTTAAGAAATTCCATTTAGATCTTTACTTCCGTTTCTGAACAATTTAGCATTTCCTTTGGCTCATATTTATTTTTTTCTTTTCGAGCAAATACACAGTATCAATTATATTGTTTATTGTACTAATGTGATTACATCTATAACTATTTATAACAGCAAATATTTGCATTTACTACATTTTCTAGTATTTTATTTTATATTGATTATTATAAGCCTGGCAATGTTATTGGAATTATATATTTCTATTATTCCTTGATAATTAGGTATCCTAGAATAAAATTTTTTTTTCATTTTAAATTATCAAAAACGATTATTGATTACCTTCTGGTTAATATTTCATTCTTAAATTAGATAATCAATGATAACTGTGTATATGTGTTATTGATGTTGTATTTTAGGTTTGGAAAAAGGTATGAATTGCCACTACTGGCACAGAGTATGATTATGAACATTATGATGTTATTAATGATTCACTTATGTGTTAAAGTGAAAAATAGAAGTCAAATAATCAGAGGCCCTGATAGAGTTTTCACAGGTAATTGCCATATTTAGAGATGTTTTAATGTTATAACCTTAACTGTTCATGGTTTTATGCATTCATTTAATTAATTTAATGCTTTTATTATTTTGTTTAGACATGTTCATCTAAATTATTAAAAATGTGTTATAAGGCATAATTTTATAAAAGTTTATATGTTAAATGTCATTCGTTTCCCTTGATTTAGTAATTACAGTAATTTATCAGTAGCAGAGGAGCTTATTTAAATTTGAACAACTGTTGTTGCTATGAATTAACATAAGTTGAATATTCAGGAAAAAGCCTGATGTGAAATCTTGTTTTAACATGTTCTATCTTTCTCTTTAACAATTTTATATCTTATATAACTTTACTATACATATACTAATTTTATGAATGTTTTCTGTAAATAAATTTTATTATTTGCTTTAAAAAATTTCCTTCTGGAAAACAAGAACAAACATCCACCAAAAATATATATACATGAAATATGGATTATTTCATAGATTAAAAAAAAACATCCAAGTCTGAAGTAAGATAATTAATTTTTATTTTGTTAATTTTTTATTTCTTAAATCATTTTTTGGTTTTCAAATTTTGTTATAATGCAATGCCCTTTTTTTTTTTTTTTTTTTTTTTTCAATACTGAAAGGCAACCTTTTCTTGGTAATAGAGAATACCATTTAAATAAATAATTTTTCAGGTAGGAGATTTATTTCAAATTCATTCTTGAAATTCATAACATTGTATATAAAGTTACAAATATTCAATTAATAAAAGTTCTACTGTAAGAGTCACTCCTTATAATATATTGTTCAATAGATATTACCACAAATACTGAAGAAATGTAGAGCTGTCACACCTTGTAATTCCTTAAAAAATCAAAATTACAATCTTCATATCTCTACCATTGCTGTATACCAGAAATGGTTAGGCAGGGGTAATCAGAAAAATAAACAAAAGATAAAAAGTAATTGTGGGTTGATGGTTGACTGTAGTGAATAATGAAGAGAAGGATGGTTGGGATGATCAGTCATAATAAAAATGACAAAAATAAATAATAATATTTATTTTAACATTTGCCGATGTTTCGATCAGAAGTTTCAGGGCTGAGAAAAGAACCAGATAACAATAAGTATGAGAAACATAAACAGTGTAGGTAGGAAATAAAGTAAAATGAAGTAGATAAGTGAACATTAAAGTAAAATAAAGTAGTTAGAATAATACCAATAATAAGAACTAAAAAATAAATAATAACGGCTAAAAAGTGTGGACTAATGAAGTATATATAATCAAAATCAAAATAAGGTAACATGAGAACTAAAAATGGTAATCTTAGAATAAAATGTAAAGCAGATAAAAGGAATATGAAGTTATATAAGAAATAAATATAAATAGAAAATTGAGATAGTGTAAAGTCTATCAAAATATACTGACTACTTATAAGAGAATAACAAATTAAAATGAAATAAAAAAATAAATAAGCAAATGTATCAATATATACAAAGTGGAGATGGAAATATGGAAAATAGAGTGACGGGAAGGAGGAAATAAGGAGAAAAATAAGATAAGATAGATAAACAATCTGATCGAACCAATAGTTTGCAGAGATAGAGGTATACAGTTCTAAAATCTACTTCATTTTACTTTAAGTTTTTCTACCTACACTGTTTATATTTCTCATACCTATTGTTATCTGGTTCTTTTCTCAGCCCTGAGGAAGGCCTGAATTTCTGGTCGAAACGTCGGTAAATGTTAAAATAAATATTATTATTTATTTTTGCCATTTTTATTATGACTGATCACCCCAACAAAAAGATATAAAGGTTGTTGTTTTGGTTTTTTCAGACTTACGAGGTACTATGGCTTATGCAACAATAAGTAACATTACTTAGAAGGAGTATTATTAATAACCAATTCAAGTATAAAATTTCCTGTTAGTTATTTTGATTTGCAATAGTATGGAGATGGTTGACCGTGGTTATAATATGAGAAAGAGTTGGTCAGGCGTGCGGTCAAATTAAATATTATTTATTATAATCGTATTTTATTAACCTAACCAATTAAATACTATTATAATATATAATATTTAATTTGACTGCACCCCGACCAACACCTCATATTTTGATTTATATTTACATATGTACATTATACAAATGTATTAATGTTTTTTTTGCATGTTTTGTCTCCTCAAACTAATCACTTGTTCTTTTTAAGTTTCTTTCTCATTTTTCCTGTACTCTCTGTATACTTTTGACAAAGGACATTCAATTATTATTATTATTATTTTTCTTTATTTACTCTATGTTTCTCTTCTCTTAATACATAGGTATTGGGCCTGCTCATGATGAAATGCCTTTGCGCCCCAAAAAAAGGGAGTACCCTTTTGGTATGTCTTACGTTCTGCAATCAACCAATGGTTTTTTTTTTCTTTTATTATGTTTACTAACTGCCAGTTAAAAGAACTTTTGTAGGCTGGGTCGTAGCTATGTCTCAATTAATCAATAGTTGTCAATAACTAAAGTTATCAGTATGGATTCTAATCCTTTTCTGGGAAGATACATCATGTTGCATGTTGAAGTATGGTTATTTTGCATGAGAGAAGAATAATGTGTAAAATTATTCCAAATGGTGATTAATTTTTGTTATATCTGAACCAGCTAAGATTGTGCTGATTTAAATTGATACTGGGTACCACTACCAGTTTATAGTTACCTTTCAATAAACCAAACATACTTGTCTTATCAATAATACTTCTGTTATCAGTTAAACACCTGTCAACTAATATTTAAACCTATAATTTATAGATTAAATAAAATATGACACTTTTTATCATTTTCATCTGTTAAATCTAGAAAATAGGCGATTAATTTAGATTAGCCAATTTTTTGGTAAAAACACCACTTTCAGATTGAACATTTCACTCCTTATTGAAATTCTTCATTATTTTATCTTATAAAATAACATGTAACATAGTTGAATAATTCTGATGACTGTTATGCTGCTATTCTTAAGCGATCAGGAATAATTTAAAGGGTATATAAGTAAGATTCAACAACAGTATCTATTCTCCCAACAATTTTTCTTTATTTTATTATGACGTATCGGAATCCACTTTCTTATCCCATCTTCATACAGTATCTCATCCTAAATCATCTTATTTTTTTTTTTAAGATTTGTCATAATTATTATTTTTTTTTATATTGTCATATTTATTTATTTTATTTTATTTTTTTTTCTCCCCTTCCTCGGGGTTTTCCCGGCCCAGGGGGTGTGGGCAGGGATTTAAAAGATGCCTTGGCACCGGGACGCGAACTTGTGATTATTTTTATAACACATTTATCATATATCAGGTTGACGGGCAACGGTGGTACTGTGCACAACGCGTTAGCCCATTTGACCCCGCCCACTGTCATATTTCATTCCTTGAATTATATCTGGACTCCTCTTGGCAGAGCCTAATCAGATATTGTAGCCTAGTATCTCACTAGGCTCTTCCTAGAGGAGTCCACATACAATTTAAGGAATAAAATATTATAATAAAAAAAAAATAATAAGTATGGCAAATCGTATAAAAAAATAAGATGATATCAGGATGAGGTACTGTCTGAAGATGGGATAAGAAGATGGATCCCGAAACGTCATAATAAAATACAGAAAAATTGTTGGGAGAATAGATATTGTTCTTGAATCTTACTTATATGCCTCAGAAAAAAAGTATCTCCCTTAGGACTTATGAAGTAATTTAAAGGGGATAATGATAGATAGGAAAGTACCTTTCTATTATACAAACAGATAATAGAGCTGTATAATTATAGCCAAATTACTACCTACGCTATTCCATTCATGTTATTGGCAAGTTATGCATTGAGTAATTAAAAAATTAGTTCTGTAATATTTTTTGTTGGAAAAGTATTAAGTAAGCATTTTTTTGTGAATTCAGTTAGGTAGTTCAAGCATGACATAAAATTTCTTTGAAAAACTAATCATTTTGCCAATTTGAATTTTAAAAATACATCATAAGAATTAGAGATATCTGAAATCACTTATCAATGAGATTTTGTTTTATCGTTGAAATCTTAAGAAATTGGATTCTGAACTGTTTCTTAGTGATCTCAAAATCATGAGGAGTGGCGATAACCATGAAATTGAAGGGACTTCTAATGACTTAGTTATTTGTTCTCTAAATTGTTTTTTTGTAAAGGAGTTAGTTGGGATGTTCATTCACTAGTATCAAAATAAAAATAATGATTCATAATTGGTAATTGGTTGACTGTCGTGGATAATGAAGAGAAGAATAGTTGGGGTGTTCAGTCAAAAAGGAAGGCAAAAATAAATTATAATATTTATTTTTTACATATGCCGACGTTTCGACCTGAAGTTCAGACCTTCATCAGGGCTAAGAAAATAACCAGATAACAAGGTATGAGAAACATAAGTAACGATGGTAAAAAAGATAATAAAAAATAAAAAAATAAAATAAAAAAAATTATTAGAAAAATAAAACAGATAAATATAAATGTTTTAATTTTACTATTTATTTTCATTTCTTATATAACTTTATATTTCTTTTTTATGTTTTACATTTTATTCTAAGATTCCCATTGTAACACTTTTGTCACCCCTTTTTGATTATGCCTGCTTCATCATTCCACACTATGTAACAGTTTTTATTATTTATCTCTTAGTTCCTAGTCATTATTCTAACAATTTCATTTTACTTTATATTTATCTATTTTATTTTTCTAATAATTTTTTTTATTTCATTTTTTTATTTTTTATTATCTTTTTTACCATCATTACTTATGTTTCTCATACCTTGTTATCTAGTTATTATCTTAGCCCTGATGAAGGCCTCAACTTCAGGTCGAAACGTCGGCATATGTAAAAAATAAATATTATAATTTATTTTTGCCTTCCTTTTTGACTGAACACCCCAACTATTCTTCTCTTCATTAAAAATAATGATGTAGAGATGGTTAACCATGATATAATATGAGAAGGAGTTGGTCGGAGGG